TGAGAGACTTTAAAAAGAAATAGTAATGTTATCAAACATAAACAAAACCAGTTCAGCTATGGGTAGGGATGGTGTGTTGTACTGAAAATTCTTAATTTGGTACCTTCAAATGCTGTTAATTGTCATCAGCTCCCTAAGGGGCCTGACCTGTGCCATTGCAGTTGAAAAAGCAAAATCCTTGTCATGGAGCTCTCAAACTGCAGCATCTCGTGGCACCTTCCCCAGCCCCAGGAATGTCATGGAATCATAGAATCACAGGCTGGTTTGGGTTGGAAGGGACCTTAAAACTCATCCCTTCCATGGGCAGGGACACCTTCCACTAGACCAGGTTGCCCCAAGCCCTCTCCAGCGTGGCCTGGAACAATTCCAGGGATGGGGCAGCCCCAGCTGCTCCGTGTGGGAGGCACACAGGTTAAGAACACACAGGAGAATCTACCACGTGCAAACCAAGCATTTTGACTTTTTTCCTTTGGTTCAAACGAAAATGAATTGATTAAAAAGGAAAATCGGTCTCTTTTGTTCCAGCCAAAGAAGACAGTAGAAAGGAAGTCTCGTGGCAAGATAAAATGAACGTGGATCAGTGAAGTCAAATAGCTGTAGTGTGTGTTTCATGTTTTCAGAACATAACCTTGCTGTGGGCACCGAATCCTTCCGATCAGTCTTTGTGTGATCTCTTAACTTGTGGGCTTGGCTTTTGACTGGGTGTCTGCCTGCTCTTCCCTTTGGATCAGTCAGTGTTCCTGCTTTGCGAGTCGTGCTCAGCTCCTGGAGAGCCGTTCCAGCCCCACGCAGCTGCCTGGGCTGTGTCACAGCGCTGTCCCCTCTCACTGCTGGCCCCAGTGTCTGCAGCTTAGCGGCCAAAAAGCTCTTTAAATGTTCTTAATGTGCTGCTTAACGGTCCTGTCAGCAAACCGTGCTGGGGAGAGTTCGTTCTGATGCTTTCTCTCGTGCCATTATTGTGGTGATTTCCAAGATTATCTGCAACCTTTCAGATAAAGCCGCGGCATTATCTGGCTGCGGGCACAGGGTGTGCCGTGACAGATTAAATATTGCTGATAAGGATTTATGGAAAAGGCAGGGATATGAATTATCTTCAAAACTGAGCACACTGTGTGTGTGCTGGCAAAATAAATCCTTGATTTTTGAATGAATTCTTGATTGAATCCTCTAAATCCTTGATCTTCATTCAGTGTCCACTAGTTAAATTTTTTACTATTTATGTTTTCCAATTATCTTGTGATACTTCAAAAGAACCTGGGCCTCTCTAATTAGTAAATGTCCTTTCACCCCATATGACAGGGAGGTTTCCAAATGGCACTCTGCTAAATTCCAGCAGGTGGATTTCTACAGTGAGCTTGGGACATTGCAATAACCAGACTCTGAACAGATTTATCCAGACTAAAATAAAGATCCTCTGAAAGGCAAAAATAAGCTTTGTGAAATACTGAAAGAATATTTTTTAAACCATAAAAGCTGACACTGGAGTTGAAGTTGATAGTGTTGTCTTTTAGTGTTATACTAAAGATTAAATTAACATAATGTAACTAAACAGCTCAATGATTTGGAGTACAAACGAAAGTGCTCATAATGATATTTTTTTCCCTCTGATGTAAAATTACTAATTTTAGTTATTTATTTGGCAGACTGAACCTATGGAATAGAAGATTAAATGGACATTTCTTGCACAGAAGGTAATAAAAGATCGTTGCAGTCCTGCTCGTTTGTTGCTCTTAATTTAGTTTAACTGAATTTTTTTTTAACTTATGTAACTCTGTGTAAGATTCTGGGTTAGAAAAACATGAAGTACAGACCTTAATTCAGAATCTGTAAAAATCACTTTGAGGTAAGTGCAGTCCTACATGGCTCATCATAATTTCAGTATTTGCTATGTTATTGGGTTGACAACTCTATGGAAGGAGTACATAAAACTATACTTTTATTAATTAAAAAAACCAAGGAAACTTTAAGGATGACTCTTCATCACCTGTTTAATTTTGTTTTTAAAGTAATTGGCCATTTGTGGTAAGCTGATCTGTATAATTTGTTTTTAATGTGTCCCATAGCCAGTATTTTTAATAAAATGCATTTTAGTAATTGAATAAACAATGGCAAGATTGTGCAGTAAATTCCAGACTAGTTAAGGAATGAATGATGGAAGAATTACTGTATTAATCCAGGATTTTTACTTGTCAACTGTGTTATCAGATGTTCTGGCTTGGCAACAGAAGATGACAAAATGCTTCCAGTTTAAATATAGCCAAAAGCAACATGCCCCACCAATATACCCAAAATAGATCCTTACTTGGCCATAAATATAGTGCCCTAAATATAGCTGAGAGCATTGCACCACTTAGAAATAATGGATATAAAAGGTTTCCAAAGATTAATTGCAGGCTTTCAGTCTGAAATGGATAAAGAAACCATAATCTTTTCATGTAGTCAATGTTAAAGTGACTAAAACATCAGCTCCATTTTGCCACTGAGCTCTGAAAAATATATTTAAAACTGCAATATTTCTGTTTTAAGCTGCTGGCCAGTTTCTGAGAAAGCAAATTGTGAACTTCCCAGCAGTAACTTCCCCTGGCACGTTGTAGTGAAAGACACTTGCAGCCTGTCAGTGCAGCCCACTGTCACAAATCCTTGGAATGGGAGTGGAAAAATCAATATATTTTTTGCATCTAAATATTCTCCAATATGGAGAATATTTAAAGCCACATTCCTTATAGGAATGTTTTAGTGGCTGTGCTTTGTTTCGACAGTGACTTTCCACCTGCTGAAAAGAGCAATTAATTAATTAAATCTGCATTGTTAGTAATTCCAAAACGCTGTCAAGGATAGAGCCCAATAATACATGGAAAGCTCAAACATAACTTTATTTTTCTTTTTCTTTAGGAGATTGACTGCTGCCTTTTCCGTGGGAATGATCCATAGGGCCTGTCCCCCCGGGATCAGGGAGGTGCTGCTCATGGCCTGCTTCCTTCACAATTTCTTCTCCCATTCCTTTCATACTGTTTTTGTTCAGAATTTTGCTGTTGTGAGTGCATGTAAAGCCTGTTAAAGAAAATAAAAACACTGATGTTGACGTACAGCTGCATTACATTCGCACAACTATTTTTGTAAGGTTTAAAAAAAAAAAAAAAGGCAAAGCAATGAATCTCTGAAATTGCTCTTCCGTCTTAATTACAAAGCTCCATCTTCAAAGATTTTTGTTTGTTTCTTGTAGCAGTTTGGTTTTAAATGTACGAAGCTTTCAAGAGTGGTCTGTGCTTGTCCTAAAAGATTGCTGGTGGAACAGTTTGTCTGTTTTATTCATATGTGGAAATTGTTAAATATCTTTTATTTAAAGAAAAAAAAAAGTTGATAAATTACATGTATAATTACAATTCAATGATCTTTTGTATTTTATTTTTCAAAATAAATGCTTTAAATGTGATTTTTTTTTGTTTATTTATTAATGGTTTTGCTTCGGAGTTAAGATTTAAATAATTCAAGATATTGATGTGTTAGTGGAGGGGAGATACGATCTCATGCCCTGGATTTGGGTCTCAAATCTTTAAGGTTTGCAATTTAATGCTTTTTGTTTGCTCTTAATAGCTGGGTGATGAGGAAAAAGTAAATTGGAGTGTCCCGCTGAGAGCTATAAAGAAAATAACACCAGATTTGTTTGCTGCAGGAGAACCAAGGTAATTTTTAGCCTCTTGACTTTGTTCCTCAAAAGCCACTGTGTCCGGAGTTGTGCTGCTGAACCCCTGCTGTGAAACTGTGTCCTAAGCATCAAAACTTTAGGATGCGACGTGGAAGGTGATTATTCGAGTCAGGTAATTTTTGAGAGGGGGTTTTTGCCTCGTTTTGTCTCCGTTTGTGTTCCCCTCGGTGGTTCACGATGCTGAAGGTGGGCTCAGCCGAGGGTGAAGGAGCTTATTGTGTTCCCCCAACTTCTGCTTCTTCGGCTCTGAAACAGGTTTGGGTTTTTTTTTATTATTATTATTTCCCTCCTTCTTTTTGTTACTCCAGCTGAGCTGATTAACGTCTGTCTCTAAAACCACCGTGAACCCCAGTGAAGGATATCAAAGTGCCCTGAGGGAAGAAGTGAATTTCACGCTTGGCTCCAGCTTTCCCCGCTCCTTCACCCTGGGCTCGATCTCAGAAGCGATCCCGGGGCCTCCCCTAGCGCCCGCCCGGGGCAGCGCGGCCGCGGAGCCGCCATCGGTGCTGCCGGCAATTAATCGCGGCTAATTAATTAACGCGGGGCGTTTCCCGGGGAGCGGCGCGGGGCCGAGGAGCGAAGCGCAGCCCCGGGCGGGGCCGTGAGGGAGGGGGGGGGGCGCTCCCGCCGCCCCCTCTGTGGGGACGGGCCCGGCCCCGCCCGTGTGGGACCCGGATGGGCCCTACGTGACGCGGGGCCGGGGCAGGTGAGGGCGGGCGGGGAGAGGCGGCCCCGCTGCCCCCTCTATCCCCCGGCTGATGCGGCGGCGGCGGCGGCGGCTGCTCCTCCTGGATCCGGGGCTCCGCTCCCGACCCCCGGCGGCAGCGCGGGAGGGGCCGCTCAGGTGAGGGGCGGGCGGTGCCGCGGAGCGGGAGGGGGGGACGGAGCGGGGGCCGCTGCCCCGCGTTCGGGGACTCCGTGCAGGAGGCCCCAGCAAGTCGTTAGGTGACAGCTAATCGTTGATTATTTGTTAATTAATTACTGACTGATTTGCCGGACGCCCGGGGCTGTGCTGCCCGCTCCACACGCTGCGGTGGTGCCCGTGGGTGATGCCTCTGCTCCCCTCAGCTGTCAGACTGGAGAGCGGCTCCAGGCTCTAAAAACTGTGGAATTCTGTGTGAGGAGTCAGTGCCAGCCACCAGCGAGTACAGCCCCAGTGTCCTTTACCCACTGGTTGCTCGCAGCTCCCAGTCAGGTCTCCCTGCTGTCCTGCTCCTGCCCTGGAGGTCACTGGTGATGGAGGGTCCCGTCACAAAAACCCACACACTCTGTGTCTGCTCTCTGCTGCAACACTTAAGTTGCACTATCCCTTCATCATACCCTGTGCTGTTTTTTTCTCGTGACTAAAGATGCTGAGAATGTCCAGGATTTTACAGTCCAGTGTATAATACCATTTACTGCAGCCCAGGGATCCCGGCCCCTTTTTCAGGGTGTTCCTTCACTGTTCTGATGCAGATTCACGAGAATTTACTGGCTGTCATGTCTCGTCCCAGTGCATTCATGCAAACCTTTTATCATCTGAGTCCTTTGAAGATAGCTTTGGAGAGACTGCTAAGTCTCATTCTGGGACCTCACAGGGATCCAGTTTCTCTTGAAAAAGATCCAGTTTCTCTCCTGAGCTGAGCCTAAAATCCAGTTGGCGTTTCCTCAAAACAAGCACATCCCAAGGAGTTAGCTCTGAACAGAAGTCTGAGGGTCTCCTAGGCTGGATTCATACATCAGTACCTTACTGAAAAAGATTTTGACCATCTAATCATTATATCACTTTTATTTTTGTGGATATGTAACTTTTTTTAGGTGTGCAACTTTGCCAACACTCATGTAATCTCAAAGCATTTAAGGAAAAGTTGTTTAAACCTCTGCAGAAAAGCTGAGGGAACAGCAGAGCCTTGAAAAGTTTTGTTGCCACTTACTACGCAGTCCAACTCGATGCAGCTCTTGTATTGCTATCCTTCCCTGGGGAATGAAGCCTGGCTGGCAGGGCCAGTTCATTTACTGAGCTGTCTTTGGTGTGTGTTTGTGTGACAGTATCTGAGCTGTTCATAACAAAGCTCCAGGAAGCAATCTCTGCATTTAAATGCCAGGTGGAAGGACTGGCAGGAGGTATTTCTGGTAGAGTTGGATGCTGCTGACCTTGGTTCAGTTAAATATTTAATAATAATTTTGTTTAGTTGGGATGTGTTCTCATTAACTGTTGATCTGGACCCAGATATATTTGAAAGTGAAATGGATGCATTTACTTAGTTTAAATAAATAAAACAGGCCCTGCAACTTTAATGAGAGCTTTAACAAAAGGGATATTTTTGTGCATAGCTACAAATAATTATTGCACATTCTCTAAGTGGCAAGAAGAGGATAAGACCAGGTTGGACAGGGTTTGGAGCAACCTGATCTAGTGGAAGGTGTCCCTGCCCATGGCAGGGGGTTGGAAGGAGACGAGCTTTAAGGTCCCTTCCAACCCACACCATTCTTGATTTTATGATACAGATGGATGCATATTCTTCATGAAACACAGAGAACCCAGTGTCTGTCAGAGAACTGGCCAGTGATCAGCTTCTGTTTTTCTTTCAGGAAGACTCTGTTCCTGTCACCACTCCGCTGTTCCACTGCTCCGTGCCTGGGGGTGAACGGGTGAAGCAAACCTAGAGAGAGACTTCACTCACCTTTTAATGAAGGTCAAAAAACAGGTTAAACTTGTCAGTGATTAATCTCTTTGTTTTACTGCCATTAAACTTACTCTTGAAATCCTGGGCCGAGAACTTCTCTGCCAAACCTCACTGGTGAGGGCATTGTTTGTGTGAATGTTCCAGTGGCAGAGGATGCTGTTACTCCTGGGTGTAACAGAATTAAGATATGCTCTCTCGTGGTCTTTTTTTCTTAAGCTTTGGTGTCATGTTGAAGGAGGATTATGAAAGAGGAAGAATTCCTTTCTCTCCAACCTCTAGTTCTGGTAGGAAAGGGGCCCTTTTTGGTACAGGGCCAAATGGATGAACTTACCCCAAACACATTCTGTGGTCGATGATTCCCATATACTTAATGGAGCTGAATGTTGTTTATTCACAGGATGATCCATTTAAGTGAAATATATGGGACATTCTCGAAAAATGTAGACAATTAAGGAACACATTTTTAGTCAATCTTGAGTTCTTTTGAATAGTCTTAAGAGAACTGGAAATAGCAGGCAAAGCACTGGTGTCAAGTGACAGCATTATAAATAATACATTCACAGTAAACACAGACTCACACTCAGTTTTGACTGTGCATCTTATAGATGAAGCTTCTGCAAGCTGTTTCTGGGTGATAATTTGTTTACTTCTTTAAAGGAGCCCTACCAAAATAATATTTCATTTATGTTGTGCATGTTCTTTATCAGTGAGGCACAGTTGAGTTGTTTTGATAATTGATATTGTCGGAATAAATGTTGTTTCAGGACAAATATTAAAATTGCTGATAGGGTGTGGACATTGAGAAGCCCTTCAATCCTTATTTGTCTGCCTGTGCATTGGACTGTGGTGGGGAAATGGATAAACTGTAGAGAAGTGAAATACCTGTCCTGAGCTGAGCTAAACTTCTTAAGGAGTTGCAGCTTGAACAGAATGTTTGACAATTCAGGGTACCTACTTCTCTATGTTTATTAGGGTGTTAAACAGGGTGTAGAATTCACCTGCAAAGACTGTGTACATTCCCACAGAACGTGAAGATTTTGATCTGATCAGCTCTCTACACAGTATCTGTTTTGCCCAGGAGCGTCCAGGGTCTGTCTGGGCTGATGATGTGCACAGTGACTGTATTAGCAGAATAATTAATCACATCTTTCCAAATTTTATGTCGTTTCTTCTTGCTGATTTTGATGGGGAGCACCCTTTATGGAACATTTGTTTAGTCAACAAATAAACACATCAGATGTGCTCGTGCAAATAACCCTTCTCTTTTTATATTTCATAGTGATTTGAGGGAAGGAGCTTGCAGGGTTAGAGCTGAAGCCTCTGGTAGTGGTTGTGCCTTTGTTGTGGTGTTGATGCTGCTGGAGACGCCACAGCAATCCTGGAAACAGGGATTTTATATAATGCAGTGTAAAGGGAACAGCAGGGTTTCTCCTCTTTGCTGCTCTGCTCGTTCAGTTGTTATTTTTACAGAGCAGCTGGTTAGTCCCTCCCGTGCTGCGAATGAAGGTGGACTGTGAAAGCCTCGGAGGTGCTGCTCCGTGCCGGAAAGGAAATGGATAATTAGGATAATAAGCAGAATTAAATATATGTGTGTCAGATGGGCGCGTTCATGTGCGATGGGACGTGATGCGGTGGGCACGGAGACATCGGGTTTCTCCGGCTGGCTGGAATTGGAAAATTTCCCGGGGAATGCTGAGCGCAGCCCCGCCGGTGCCCGTCCCTGCTCCCGGCGAGCGGCTGAAGGTGACAGACGGAGCGCGGGTGTCGCCCGGCGCGGGGCCAATGGCAGGACGTGTTCCTGCATCCCGCCCATGGCGAGGGACAGGCTGGGACAGCGGCCACCCAAATCCACCCAGCAAATGACATTTTCCTGCAAAAGCGCGGCGGAGCCAATCGCTCCCTGCACTGTGCAGCCAATGGATGCCGGGCTCTTACCCAGCCACTGACAGCGGCTCCGGGGCTGGAGGGCCTGGGGACAGCTCCGCCAAGCGCATTCCCGCACAGCCCGAGCCCCCGGTGCGTGGGTGCCACCCGTGCCGCGATTCATTTCCCGGCGACAGCGATGCCATTGTGAACCCTCGGGCTGCCTCGGGGAGCGACGCGTCCCGCCCGCCACCGACCCGCGGCTGGCGGGGACAGCCCGAGGTGATCCGGGGTTTGTGTTCCCGTTCAGCAGTGCCACGGCTGCCTACCCAGCAGACCTGCTCCCGAGAGCCAGAGGGATGGTGGTAGTTACGGGGCAGAACAAAGTGAGTGGAAACCCGGATGATGCCATGTCGAGCTCGGATGCAGAGGATGATTTCCAAGAGCCGGCCACTCCTACTGCAACCCAGGCAGGACAAGCTCTACCTCTACTGCCCCAGCAGGTAAGAGCTCCCCGGTGCCGTTCACCTGACAAGGTGCAGTGATGGCAGCACGCACTGCTCAGCTGCCAAACAACCCAGGATTTATTTGCTGGACTATTTGTGGATGTCCAGTTCATTTTCCATTAGCAGCTAAATGTTTGAATAAAACTAAGTCTCTTGAATTTATTTCAGTTGCTTGGCGGCTTTAGCTGTAAGTTCCATCCATGTTTGGAGTTGAGAAATATAATTAAGTGTTAATTCTGGTACTTCAGGCGCCTAGAGTGTAATACTAAGATTTCAGGCCTGATGTAAATACAAAATCACTGGGGATTTTTAGTGTATGGTTTAGCAGTGTAAAGAAACCAGCAGAGTAGCAACTGAGTGCAAGTCCCAAAGCTGGCCTGAGATTTCTTCCCCTTTTTTTTTCCCCTCTGCGTGTGTGTCTGTCTCTGTGTAAGGGTGGGGAGCCAAGAGGAGGCATTAATACTTTAATATCTGGCATTAAAGCTGAGTGATACCTGCTGTTTCAGATTCCAGCTACAATTAAACCACTCGCTGGTTCCACCCAGAAGCCAAAGTATCCAAGCTGTTAACCCTCCACCCCCTCTGCTCTGTGGCAGCAGGGCAGGGAAGAGGAGTTTGTCAGGGCGGCCAAGACCGCCCGCCGTGTTTGGGAAGCTGTAACCCTGCGAAAGGCCCCGGGGGGCTCCTTTCTCACGCCGTGATTGCTTTTGCAGTTCCCAGAAGTTGTCCCCCTGAACGTGGGCGGGATGTACTTCACGACCAGGCTGTCCACCCTGAGGCGGTACGAGGACACCATGCTGGCAGCCATGTTCAGCGGCAGGCACTACATCCCCACGGATGCTGAGGGCAGGTACTTCATCGACAGAGATGGAACCTACTTCGGGTATGTGCAGCGTCTCCCCAGCGCTTCCACAGTTCCTCCTGGAGAAAGTCAGTTTGAAAGGAAAATCAGTTTTTAACGTTAATTTTTCCTCCAGGTTAAATCCCGTTTGGGCGGTAGGTAAATGGGACTGGCTGGTATCCGCACCCTCAAAACATAATAATGGGATGTGGCAATTAAAAAACTGTTTGTTTTGCTCTCGGGTTTTAGGCAGTGGGAAAGGAAAAGCAAGCAATGTGTTGTATTTGTACATTGTCTCCTCCAGAGTATCTCCTTTCAGGGTATTAAGTTGTTTTGATGTCTTAAAAAAGAATGTGTTTGGTATTGCTTTACATAGGAACAACACTGGTTTTTAATTGACATTACAGTATCTGGGATAAAGAGGGAATGGAAGGAATGCACAGTTGAAAGTATGTTATTTTCAGTCTTTAAACAGGATGTAACAGAACTGGTAAAAAAGCCCAAGCCTCAAAGAATTTCTTTTTTAAAATTATTTTTGCTGGTAGTGCCATATCCCTTCACCTTCAGGATTCCTTCTTAAGGAAGGTCAATAATAGTGTTGTTAGTTAACACTTATAAAGTGATTTCTATCCCTGTTAAAAAATCTTGTCACTTAACAGCGTTTCAGAACTGCAAGGAAATGTTCTCTCTCTTCTTTGAAAAATTCTTATTCTGTATATGGCCCTGATCCTGTGTAGAGAAACCTCCTTCAGATAGAATCCTGGGTCTGTGTGGGATAAAATCTCCATGCATATAATTCTCTAGGAAAATGGAAAGTATTATTTTGTCACAGACCTAAATTTGAAACACAGTGACAACAATCTCTTTCCCGTGGAATACTGTATCCTCTCCTATTTGAAGTGGTTCCTGCACGTTGAACTTTTTATGTAAAATATGATTATGGTTTTTTGAGTGAGTTTTGACATGAATAGAGGCAAAACATGGAATGGTGACTTGGAAACTTGAACATGCTTAATGGTTTTAAAACCAGCTGTGGGGAATATGGATCGCTTGTTTCAGTTACTGTCTAAACATAAGGATTTCTGTCTCAATAGAGTAAACAGTGAATATGCAGCATTTCCTCTCCTTTATCACCTGTTACAGCTTTTGGCAGATATGTGTTCTTTAATAATATTTTTGCCCTTTTTTTTAGAGATATACTTAACTTTCTGCGCTCTGGTGACCTGCCACCGAGAGATCGAGTGAGGTCAGTTTACAAGGAAGCTCAGTATTATTCCATAGGACCCTTGCTAGACAATCTAGAGGATATCCAGCCCCTGAAAGGAGAAAAAGTTAGACAAGCTTTCCTGGGCCTAATGCCGTATTACAAAGGTAAATAAACAAAGCAGTGTTGACTGTTTCTTCTGGTGGGATTCAAGTGTTGGACCTGGTGCTTTCAGTCTGCTTTCAGCTTCCAAGATAATTTCTTTGTAGTTGGGAAGTTTATTGCCTGCTTTTCGTGCCGTTTGGGTCTTTGAGGTCTCCACGTCAGATTTGGTACAAGGATGTGGATTTTTATTTTAAAAGGAGCAAGATCTAGGCCATGACATGCAAGGCTTATGAAATGAGAGGGTTTCTCTGCTTTTGTTGTGTCAGGACCTGCAGCTGAGTAAACTTGGGCACATTGTAAGGACACCAAGTTCACCAGATAACTGAGATGGATTTGATTGCTGTATATTTTGCTTTATGCAGATTCCTGTTAGGCTGAGAATAACTCATTAAACACTGCAGTAATATGTTTCACGTGAAATAATTGCATTTGATCCCTTTTACTTGATACTTCATTGTAATTCTGGATTTTTGGGGTGGATTTTTTTTTGTTTTTTATATTAAGATCACTTGGAGCGGATCATCGAAATAGCCAAGCTCAGAGCTATGCAGAGGAAAGCAAGGTTTGCCAAACTGAAGGTCTGTGTCTTCAAAGAGGAGATGCCCATCACCCCCTACGAGTGCCCCCACTTCAACTCCCTGCGTTTCGAGCGGAGCGAGAGCGAGACCAAGCTGTTCGAGCACCACTGCGAGGTGGACGTGTCCTTCGGCCCCTGGGAGGCCGTGGCCGACGTGTACGACCTGCTGCACTGCATCGTCACAGACCTGTCCGACAGGGGCATCACGGTGGACCACCAGTGCATCGGCGTGTGCGACAAACACCTCATCAACCACTACTACTGCAAGAGGCCCATCTATGAGTTCAAGATCACCTGGTGGTGAGTTGTTCTGTCCGGAATGGCTCGAGGGATGAAAGCGCTTCTGGGTGACGGCTCTTGGTATTTTTTTGGTGACGTGTCTCTGGATGTGCATTGCTGCTAAACATTCCTCGGCATCGCTCTGCCGGCAGCTGGGCCGAGCTGCTCAGCGAAGGGAACCTGTGGCAGAGGTTAAAGAACCTCTGGAATCTTGAAAAAAAACCAGCCTGAAATCAGACTGTTGGCTCAGGTACCTTAACGAGGCACAACACAAGAATCACCTCATGGAAATGGTGGAGGGGAGTGTCTGACAGTCTTCTCAAAGGTGCCCCCAACCCCAGTCTGCAGGGTGGAACTGCAGATCTCTCCTGCTTTATTGGCAAGCTGGGGTGCTAAGGATGCTGACACGTGGTTCACTTTTACCCACTTAGAGCTGTTTTAGTTCCTTCTTAAACTTACCACTTTATAAAATTGAGTAATACCCAGCACAAAGATTCTGGAAATGTGATTTTGATGTAATAGATAATTTAAAAAAGGGGAAAAATAGAAGTGTTCCCTATATATTATTAATTGTTGTCAGGATTAAGCTGTTTTTTTTTTTAATTAAGGATTTACATTGTGAATTATAATGTTATATTTCGATTATTATCATTGTTATAACGAGGAATAGCAGATTTGGAATATATTCCTTAATGCTTTTAGGAATAATAACTGTCCATGGAAGACTTGTGCCTGTTTTTAGCCTTAGAAATTCTAAATGTTTACAATATCTACAAAAAAAAAAAGAAGCTCTGTAGAATCAGGTGATTTACAAAGGCTTTTGGTAAATGAGAAAACCCTATATGTATGTTCCTATTAGCAGAAGTAAGAGGAATATTTAATGTATATTCTTTTATTACTGACTCTTTTTACATTCTGTGATATTAAACTTTGTTCTAGAGTTAAAGTCAGATGATACTGTACAAGTGCTTCCTTCTCTTCACCTTCTTCAGACCATTAATTCTTATTTTTATCATTCTTGTTGACCCTTCCTGGTGTCATTTAAGGAAAAACAAAATTCAGCTTTCCCATTCAAATATTTCTCCAGTTATAATTCAGTATATCTGGGTAGTAAATCCCTTCCCACGCTGGAAGAGGCAGCCACTGCAGGATCAAATTCTTCTCAGAAGGTGATTGTTGCACTTCTGACATCCCAAAGCTGAATATCTGCAGATATCAATTGTTTGTGAGGTACAGGAAACTCAACTGTTATTCTAAAAATACCCCACTTGAAGGGGCTTCCAAATAATCTTAAGGAGAGAGAAAAAGTAAATATTTGATTATTGCATTCCATTGGATTGTATAATTCAAAAATATCACCTAATTATACTTTTGACCAAAACGCTTAAGAAACACGGTAATTACAGTGATCAAACTCTTAGTTACCTGAGGTGATTCTTAGAATCATTCTAAAAACCTTATGATCAAATTGTCTGGCAAAAAAAAGAGGCAAATTGTTTGCACTGTCACGCTTTCAGGCATTTAATTTAGCAATTGTTAGTAAATTGTCTGTCTGAAGTGGGGGCTCTGATGATCTCTTTGCCAGTGTTTACTGGCAGAGGATCATTGTCAAGTGCTGAGTTTCGAGTCCAGAGCTTAAATTTGAAACGGAGGGAAGGAGGGAATTAAGTTTGTTTAAATTATTTTGTTTAAATTATTTTGTTTAAATTATTTTGTTTAAATTATTTTCTTAAATATTGGCGTCTGTGCTAGTTCTTGTACTCATGTTTGGCAACCCAAAATTAAGAGTTAGACTAGTAAATCTTCCCTACAATGAGAAGAACGTGTTTTCTTTGCTGCTTTGCTGGCTTCATTTATTGTTATTTAATTTTTTTTCAGGGAATCTTAAACTGCAGACCACAATTTCTTCTAAAATTACATAAGATCTTAAAGCTGAGGCTTATGAAGTTTTGGCTGCTTGTCGACTTCAACATTGAAGTGCAGGACTTTCAGTGTAGTTTATTTAGAGATTATAACAAGAATTGCAGTTTTACTGGGGGTTTTGGTGGTGGGTTTTTTTGCCATTTCTCGTGTATGTATTTACACAGGACAGAACTCTGGTTTGAATTTCAGCACCACTTGCAGAATCAGACACAGTCTGATTTTTAACAATGTGTTTTTTGGTTTGGCTCTAAGAACTCTCTCACTGGTTTTATAGAGAAGCTGTGACAACAAAACTCCTGTTTTGGCCATGTTTGCTATTTCTTAATATGCACATGCTGATATTTTATTACTTTTTCCTTTTCATTGCTTAAAAAAAATAAGAAAAAACTACCTACCCAAAAAGATGAAATGAAAATCTTGATCTGTATCAGCTGCACCTTAATCAAAGCTCTCATCCTTGCAGTCCTCCTGGAGGCAGCAGACGTTCAGTGCAACACTGGAAAGGGAAACATGGATTTAAAATCCCACATGGTTTCATTAAACATCCGTTCTGTGCTGTGATTCGGGCAGGTTTCACCCTGTTTTTATTGACTGCACTTGCTCTAAGCAGTCTTTGTTTACAATGATTTAGGTGATCTTGCCTAATCTGTGCTCGTTTTTTGACAGAAGCAGAGGAGTTGTGCAGGAGGATGGCAGGGGAGTAGGATCTAATCACTGCTTTATGTAACATTATTGACTTTTCTTGGCGTGTAGCATAACTTTTGAAATTCCTCATTTGCAACAGACATGTGAGTAGCTCATCTACTAAATCCACGTTTACCAGGGTTGATGATTTTGTATATCATGGATGGTTTAGAATTGTCTAATTAAACTAAATGCCTATGGAATAACTGCTTTTTCTTTTTTCCCCTTTTAAGGCTTTTCTTTATATCTGGCCAGGCCAGAGCTTTGCTAGAACATATTTACCTATTTCTCCGTGTTTCTCTTGGCTTTTTTGACACTTTAGCATCTACAAAGCTACTTTTCCATCTCTCAAATCCCTGTGTTTGTGAGCTGACACTGGAAACAAATTGGGCACAGCAAATAGTCTCGTGTCATCAACATAACCTTGCTGTGAATATCGTATTTGCAGATCATTAAAAGTGCATGTCCATGTAGCTGATTCAGTTTGAAGCACAGACATTTTTTTATGTCATGTTCTGAGACTGGATACAGGCCCTTTTTCCATTTTTGGTTCCAAGTTGATTCACAGGAACACACATATTACAATCATCTTTCCCCCCCCCCCCCAAAAAAAAAAAGTCTTAAATATTTTCAAAGCCCAGATCACACACCTGGATTGCAGTGATTATTCTGCTTTTATGAATACTGGTGGGACAGCTGAGGGATACTTATTTGAAATCAGAATTGTTAGCTATTTTTTAACATTTCTGTGTGTATGAACAGAAACATGACAAGACTAATCTTTTTAACATTCCCTCTGGAACATTTAACATTCCCTCTGGAATTCATTGTGTGGTGGTTTTTAGCAGGGAGCAAAGAGAGGTCTAATTGTCAGGTCTCAAATGACTTGGGCAATTCCACTGCACATTCAGTATTTCTGCATCTGTTTTACACTTGTAAAATAGGAAGGGAAAAAAGAAAAATTTAAAAAAAAAATGGGGGAAATAACTCATCTTTCTGAATCACTTAAAATGACTTGAAAATGTATTTGTGCTCAGCAGCCACTTAATGACTGTTCATATCAAGAGCTTAAAAATATATATAAAAATAACCTTTGAGCTTGGTGTGGGCTTCTTAACTTGAACACCCAGTCCCCTACAAAGGGATCTGAAATACTCTTTACTCCTTCCACCCTCCTTGGAGGGCAGTGAAGGTGCTGCCAGCTTTGATCTGGGAAGCCTTTGAGCCATAAACAGACTCTCTGTGGTCCTCGTGGGGCACGTTTTCTTCTGAGACTGCTGCATTTTTATTTTGATTTCAAAGCTTATTTTAACCAAAACCTGTAACGAGGGATCAGCTTCTGCACTGATGAGGGTGTGGGTTCTTTGGTTTGTTTGGGAGCACTTCAGGTCTTAGTTACCCGAGTAACAAAAGCAGTGAGTTATTGCAGTAGGAAGTTCTGCATGACCCCCTTTTTAATGGATTTTTTTTTTTTTTAATTTTTTAGGAAGTCTGCCTGGGAGACACCTTATGATGTAATATATGCAAATACCCGAACTTGTTAATGTGAATATTTTTGAGATTTTGTGGTTCAGTTTTGTAATATTCTCCCCTGAAACTGGCAAGGGTGTTAAGGGTTGAGTTAAACTCTGGGTTTCTGATAAGCCAGCTTATGCCTTAGATATCTCCTGCCCTCATTTTGGAAAATCCCTCATCCCAAAGGCGTTTGATGTAGGAAAGAGTCAAGGCTGTTACAGTTACAGGAAAACCAGGAATCTTCCTTCATTCTCAGCAGTGAGTCACTAAGAGAATCAGGGCTTGTTAATCCACTCACACTCTCCGTTCTTTGCTCTGGTGGTCTCAGGGCTGGGCCTGGCCTTGAAGGCAAAACTCAAACACTTCTGTTACGAGAAGGGAGCTGATCTGCACAAGCACCTAATCTGGCCTTTGCTGAGTGATTGTTAAAAGTCGATATTTTAAACTGTCCCAAGCAATAGCTTTGTTAAACCCTCATCTGCTCTGAGCCAATGGATGTGTTGAGAGGGGCTGGCCAGGTCTTTCAGTTGTGCTTCTCGGTGTATCTGTGTTTTCCCAGTGGAATCTGAAGCCCGGTGAGGTTGCTGCTCATGTCCAGGGAATCGTTTCAGAGGTGCCCTGAGCACGAGCTGGATTTTGGAAATACAAAAGGGGGAGGGAATTAGTTCTGCAGTGCATTCCCCAGGGATGATCCTCACTACCTCTAAAGGAAGGCTTTGGTGAGATCCTGATCCACACTCCCCCACATCTCCCTTTGTAGCTGGAGTGTAAGAAGCATGAGGAGATGAGGTGTCTGGACTGAACACTCACAGTGTGATAATGACTCTAACTGGATCCCCCTTCTCTGACCTTGCAAATGTACAACTCCATGTGCAGGAAATTTATTACTTCTCTCTGCTGCACCCTCAGATTTGTTTGCAAGGTGAATGCTCACTCTGTTTTAAAATAAAAGGTTGTTTCAATATTGCAATATGGTGACTGATAGTTGCTAAAGAATCAGTGAAAATCTTACTACTGTCCAAAGTACCTGAGTAAGTCAATCAAACTAACTTATAGCATAATCGCTTTTATTTCTCTCTTCTCCTTATTTTTTAAATAAAGACTTAAGAAATGTAAACTTACTTCTTTTTAAGGGCTTACAGCTGTTTCATAGGAATATGCATTCAGCCTAAGTAGCTGTATTTTGGGGAGTGGGAGCTTTTTTTACTGCTTGCCATGAGCTGAAGGATAATTGCATGATCCCTCATCCGTTTGGTTTTTTTTTTCCTTAAAAAACTAATTACTGGTATAATTAAAGGTCATGATTTTCTAGCTTCATTTGGCATTTGCAAGCCCTGGGAACCAGCTTTATTCTTACTGCTTGTTGTTCTTTATAGATGATTTGGGACAGGTGATATGATGAGGAAGATGATGGAAGTGCCAGCAGGGAAAGGCTCCTGTCAGAGCTGGTGGTTTCCACTGCAGGGTGTTCTTTGGGTTTGATTTCAGCTCTTGTTCTGTGTGAGGCAGAGGATCCTCCAGCACCATTTGTGTGAGCTCAGTCTGTCAGGAATTCTGGGCAACTTCCACTGGTTGTTCATTCCTGTGTGAGTTGGTTGTGTTGTTGATTCTGGGAGTTAAGAGGGTGGGAAAATCCAGTGGATCGCAGGGTCACACTGCTTGAATTTTGTGCCACAGCTGGATCTTTCTGCATGGCAAAGCAGAGTAATCATTTGGGACACAACTGCAGGACAGGTAAAAGAAGACCTCAGAGCAGAGACTGTAGAAAAATGATCTCCTGACTCACCATAAAACTCTGGGATATATTTCTTTCACTTCCATAATTTAATAACTACTTTACTCTGGGCAATTTATAGACCCCACTGGCTTTTAAGTTGTGGTTCCCGGAGCTGTACTGATCTCTTTGGTCATTCGTAGGTAAACAATTGTAAATGTTTTCAGGTCGTTCACACACAGCAGAGAGGACCCAGAATGATTCTGAGTTTTGGGCTATGGAAACATAATTTCACTTAACAGAATCCCCCCCATCCAGTCTTTCATTATCTTTCTGCAAATAAGCTGATTTTAGTGGGTAATTATGTTCTGTTTATCTCCTGTATATAGTTCTCTAACTGGAAATCACTTTCCAGAACAGCAGTTCTTAGTCATTTTACTTACACAAGCTTAGTATAAGTTTACCTCCACTTTCACTGTGACTTTTATAAATGGATTTTGTTTTGCTGAATTCTGATTTGTATGTGTCTATGCATTGTAACCCGTAATGCCTTTGAAAATCCAGCCTGGATGCTAACGATCAGGGTTTGGAATTCTCTCCAAATGTGTTTTGTTTATAATTCTGTTGATGTGTGATGTTCAATACTGTGAGTACTGCAGTGTATTATTTCTTAATACTTTTGACTTTTCAGTTCGGGTAATATATAGTCTATGTTTTTTTATTTAAAACACATAGAAGAAAATGTGGATATAAATTTGTGTTGTGCAATAAAAGATGATTATACTGAAAACTGCTGGAATCTGGCTCATCTGGTCTGCAGCCACTGCGGTGCCTCTCCTCACCTTCCCTGGGATCTGAGTTTGCTTTGCATGACTGCAAATGAAAATTAAGACACCAGTCTCCGTCTCGGGCTGTTTCAATGGCACCAAGTCGTTCCTCATCACTTCCTTAGCAGATGGCATTTGTGCAGTGTCTGCTCTCCCCCCGGGGATGCTGACTGGTGTCACATCATTTCGGTTCTGTTTCCTTCCCTCCAGCCCATGTGACACAGCGCAGAGAAAGTCCCAGTAGCTGTCCCTGATTGTGCAATGCTCGAAAACAAAGTTTCTGGATTTGCTTAGCTGGCTGAGCTCAGAAATATGTTTCTGAAGTAAATAAAAATATAATTTCCTTGCTGTCCATCTGTCCTGCTGTTTCATAGCAGGATGGCTGAGACCCAGTGTGGGAGGGGAAAAAAAAAGAGACCAAAACCAGGTAACAGAGAATGGAAAGAAGAGTAAGTTTGAAATGGCAGTGGCTATTTCTCTGTGTGCTGCAGTCAGCACAAACGCAGCCCTGGGGCAGGGCCTGGGTTTTGGGGTGACAACAGAGGAGCTGGCCTGGGGGGGGTGTGGAGGGAGGGAAGGGAACGCAGCCGTTCCCTGGGCTGGAAGGGGAGGAGAAGAAGAAGCCGAAAAGAACCGTGGATCTATTCGCATTTCCAGGAATTAGGAACATCGTACGCGTGTGTAACAGCCCCGGTGCCGCCGTGCCAGGGCAGCTCTCTCGGCTCTTCCCTTCCCCCGGTCCCGATCCCGCCGGTTCCTCCTCAGGGCGGCGGCGGCCGAACCAGCCGGGCCCCGATCCCCCCTCAGGGCGGCGGGGGCCGCTCCGCCCAGCCCGGCCTGGCTCCGCTTCCTTCCGTGCGCGGTCCCGCCCCGGAGGTGCCGCCCGCCCTTCCGCCGGAGCGGAGGGAGGGCCGGAGACAGCGCCGGGCCGGGCCGGGCCGGGCCGAGCGGGGCCGCGGGAGCAGCGCAGCTGAACGGGACGGGACGGGACAGCCCCGCCGCCCGGGGCAGCGGTGAGAGCCGAGGGGCTGCGGGCCCTGCCCCGGCTGAGGGGACAGGCGCGGGATGCAGGGGGGACCCTCCGGTATCGCCCACCCTCGATATAAGGGTCGGTGGTCCGGGGTCCGTGTCCGAGGGGCTTCGCTCCGGCCCCGCTCGCCGGGGCTGGGCGGGGGGTCCCCCGCGCCCCACAGGGACGGCAGGGTCGGGATACATTAAAACTTAACCTTCCTCCGTGTGCAGCTCCTAAAGCTAATCTTTACTGTGTATACATATATATGTATACATATTAATTCCATGGGTGCGCTCGAACAGTTAAGCAGGTGTCACTGGTACCTTGCCCACTATGCCCCCCCAGCCCGTTTTCCTGATGAGTTCCTTGTGGATCAGTGAGTTTTTGGCTTTTTTCTTGTGAGTATTGCCGCTGCCCGGCTGAGGATTAAAGCCCTTTAAACTCAAGCCAGGTGAAGCTGGGAGCATTATTTAAGATGCCTCTGAGCAGTGCGTTTTGGATGCTTTTGTGGGTGTTTGTTTTCCCCCATGTGCAGCTCCTAAAATGAATTTCTTTTTATTGTGTGTATATATTTTTATATTTTTAAATACTTTTAATGTGGTTCTAAAGAATATTTTTTTTTAATTCCACGGGTCTGTTTCCATAGTTAACAAGGAGCAGGTGTCATGATACCTTTCTCAATATGCCCTCCTCCCCCTGCCTGTTTTCCCGAGGAGTTCCTTGTGAATCAATGAGTTATTTGGCTTTTTTCCTGTAAGTATTGCCACTGCCTGGCTTCTCACTGCACGGCTGAGGATCAAAGTCCTTTAAATTCAAGCCAGGTGAAGTCTGGAGAATACTTAAAAGATGCTGAGCAGCGCGTTTTGGCTGCTTTTGTGGGTGTTTGTCACTCTTTGAGGCACTTGGTGTAGTGTTCAGGTTGTTCCTTGAAGCAGGGAGTGGCTGTATCCTCAGAGAGGGTGTGAGACATTGAAAGATGAATGTGCTTGGAGTCACAAAAAATTCTCTGAGGGGCTGGTTCAGTGCTGTCTTAAATCCTGCTGGTGTGTGGCAGGGGCAGCATTGCTGTGATAGGGAGCTGGCTTGAGCTGAGGGGGTTTTGGAAGAAAAATTAAATTGTTTTGGTTTAGGGTTTTTTTTTTTGGCTGAGTGGGGCCCTAGTCTGGCCCAGAGCTGGGAATTAGCAGCACTGCACGGTTTTGGAGAAAGAGTGGCAATTGTGGAGGTTATGATTTAAATCCCAGTAGTCATTAAACTCCTTTTGAAGCAGTGCTTAGTGCTGGCAGTGCCTCACACCAGTACTTTGGGAAGAGCACTGAGCTGCTCTTGGTTTTGCAGTTGCTCAGGACTCCTTTGAGACCAGTGACCAAGCAGCATAGAAGGATGTGGTGTTTTCCAGGAGCAGTGCTTTACTCTGGCATTGGATGTGTTGGCCTTCTGGATGTGGTTACACAAGTGTTTTGCAGCAGGGAGGATTAGGAAGAGAATTGTAGCTCAATGGACTGCTTTGCTGACAAAAAAACACCCTGAGCAGCATAAAATGGAAGGGAAGAATAGGTTAAAAAGCCAAATATAGCGATTCCTAAGACCCCTTTACTTACCCCATGTACACAACAAACTTGTTGATTATAACCTTGAAGATAGTCCATGATCCTGGTATTTAATTTTGTTATGCAGTGTTATTTAAGCTAGAACAGTCTTTCTTAGCTCCCTCCTCCTCCTCTTGGTGTTTGCTATATAATCCCCAATTATGCTTGTTTTTTTTCCCAGATGATTAACTTCTTTGTGATCTAAAACTAGACCTGAAAACTGTGCTTGTGAAGTCCTGCTAAAATGCTGTTAAGTAACGAGTCAGGTACGAAGTGTATAAGATGTTTCGAAGTTGCTCTCTGAGGTTATAGGCAACTTACTTTTAATCTGTATCCAGGTGACAGGTAGGCAAAAAAAAACAGCGTGGAGAAGAAGTTTCTGAGGAGATTTCAGAAGCTAATCCTCTCCATATTCTTGAATTCCCAATCAAAGAGTGCAAAGAGTTTTTAGATGTTTCCTGTGACTTCACTGAAGAGCTCAGTTGTGGGTCACATGTAGATGGTGAGGCACAGCCTGTTCATTCACGAGTCTGTGCTGCTCCTGCTCGGAGCTGAGGGCTCATGGCTACAGGCAGGAGTTAAGGATTTCATGGGGACAAACAAACCTGTAGCTTCAGGCCTGAGCTGGCATTTGAGGGGGGAAAGCACATCTCCGAGCTGAGTAAACTGGGAGCAGCGCTGGAGCCTCGTGGCCATGAGGTTTGGGAGGTTTTTAAGTGGTGGCTGCAATTTCCCCTCCAAATGACAGTCCCCGGCAGTGTGGTTTGTTTGAGGTGGCTGCTCAGCCCTTGTCTGGCATCACAGTAAGGACTGTTGGTTTCCTTGGGATCATTTTTTTAGCAGCCTGCGCTGTTTATCCAAGGAAACAACTGCTGTAGATGGAATCTCCCGACTGCAAGAAAGGGGCACGTTAAAATTGTGAATGCAGCAACGACAGCAGCTTTGGTTTCTTGCCTAATTCCCAACCTGTCTAATGGCTGCTGTAGTTTCTGAGATCATATTGCCCCACCCTTTCCTTTGGAGGAAATTAGCTCATGTTTAATTAGCCTTCTGCTAATTACATGTTTGGGGTAACACCTGAATCACGACTATTTTGACACGTAGGTTGCTCTTACGAGTTTTGTGGCATTTGGGTCACTGATTGTTTTTTGGATTAAATACATTTTAAGGGCCTTTTTCCACTGCCAAAATGCACAGTTGTTAGAGAACTTAACCCAACCCCGTCCCTCCACCCCCTCGGTTTTGATGCACTTTCTAATCTACCTTGTAAATTTATTTTTAGTAAATGAAGTTGCTTGCTTCTCTCTCGGTCTGAAGTATGATGTGGCATTCAGGCACCTGTAAAATGTGAAACAGCAACACTTAACGTAAGAACTGTGTGTTTGGAGACTTCCTCGGTTTTCCTTCTTTTCCTGCTCTAAAATCCCACGCCTGGGGATGGCCATCGATGACCAAACAGTGTGCAGTGAGTGGTGAGACATTGTGAACACTCTTTGGAGCACTTGGATGTTTTTGAATAAGAGGAATTCGAGCTGTGCATTAAGTGCATCTCAGCGAAGAGACTGGTGTGGGTTGTTGCCAATAGTTGTGCCAAGGGTTTTTTTTTGAGAAGGCTGTTGGTTTTGTGGAGGAAAAAAAAAAAAAAAAAAACAACCACAAAACCAAAATAACAACAACAAAAGAAGCCAAAACAAAGCCACAACCCAAAACAAACCCACGAGTTATGAGTCTGTTACCTGTTTTCCTGACTTAGATACATTCTTTAATGAACTTTGTTACTAATAGTGAAACTCATTTACAGAACAGTCTTGCGAAGCTCCTTCTTTCATTTCCAGCTTAGTGTGCAGAGTTTGTAACAAAGTGTTTCTCATAGCTTGCAGTAATTACATATTGCCTTGCAGTTGCCTCTTACCAGAGGGGTTTATACACTGATTAAACGAGACCCTTCCTCTTCTTTGGGGTGTGAGCTTTCCCAGCCAGCTCCTCTCTCGAAGGTGACCTCAGCAATCCAGGGCTCATAAATAGTTTATGACCCAGTCGATATCTTGTCGTTGTGGTGGTGACACAACCTGCACTGGCAGTGGAGGGATCTGCCTGCTCCTTCCCTGGGAGCTGGAAGAGAACCAGGAAAACAAGCTGGTGCCGCTGGAGCCCACGGGAAATCTATCCTGCTCCTAAACCGTATTTCACACAGTGCTTCTGCTGAAGCCAGAGCTGTGTCTGCAGTCTTTGGAAAGCCTGATGTGTTATGAAAACTATCTTGGGTTTATTGCTGAAAAGAAGGTGTTATGTAAGTTTAGTCTTTCATGTGTGCATTAAATCAGCCCTCAGTGACAGATCCCGTTGGGATTGAAGGAGCCCC